CCCCGTTTTTTGGGGACTACCGGTCGCACGCCGGTGGTACCCCGCGCGATGCGGCGCGTTCACGGCCGCGTCGATTTCCTCAAGCAGGGAGAGGTACTGGTGGTTTAACACTGGGCATGCCCCTGCAAAGAAAGTTTCCCGCCAGAATCTTTTCAATCGGTTGGGGGTGTGGCCAACCCCAAAAAAGGGTAGGGTCGGCCATAGGCCCGCTGGATATAAGATTTTCAGTATTTTACTTGCTGTTGGGCAATTATCTCATTGGGTAGAGCCCTCCTTCAATCACGGAGTATATGGAAGGTGTCAGGATCACTACTGACAGGAGTCGAGTTTATTTCAGAAAAATGTGGCAGTTACTTTGTTCACTGTTGATACAACCATCACCATCAGATCATTTGTGATCTGATAGCTGGGAAGCACTCTGCCGTGATTTCAAGTAGGAGTTTTCTGTTTCTTTTGCTATTCTCCTGTTTTCTCAGCCCAGAAATTTGTAATGAACCTGTCAGCCCGCTGCCACTCAGTGTCACACTGGATCGGCCACACTCCTATCCGACTGCTAATGGGACCTCGCCCCAAAGTAACCGCCACATTTTTTGGAATAAACTCAGCTTCTGTCACTAGTGATCCTGACACCCTCCATATACTCGGTGATTGAAGGAGGGTTCCACCCAATGAGATAATTGCACAACAACAAGTAAAATACTTGAAATCTTCTATCCAATGGGTCTATGGCTGACCCCACCCTTTTTTGGGGTTCGCCACACCCCCAACCGATTGAAAACATTATGGCGAGAAACTTTCTTTGCACGGGCATGCCTAGTGTTAAACCACCAGTATTTGGGTCATACATCGACCAAGGGAAGGTCCGGTCGTTGCTGAATGGCCGGGCCCCAGTTCACTCGGCATGACGCAAAAGAAAAAGAACAAAGAAAGAGGAAAAAAAATCAAATACACAAAAATAAAAAAAGAAAGAAAACCAAAGGTAAGAAACAAAGTCACGCGCGCGCGCACGCGAGAGAGAGAGAGAGAGAGAGAGAGAGAGAGAGAGAGAGAGAGAGAGAGAGAGAGAGAGAGAGAGAGAGAGAGAGAGAGAAAAAAAAAAAAAACGGTGTTTTCGTTAAAAGTGAAATTGTTTTCATGTTCACTTTTTTCTCAAGTGCAAAATAACACATATAAGAGAGGAGGAAATGAGGAAAATAGCGATGAAACAAGGCGAAATGGTGAGAACTTAGCATTGGCAGTTTTGAGAAATATGTCATTTGTAAAATAATATTTGGAAATTGTGGAAAGCAATATATCATTTGGACAATAACATTTGAAAATTGTGGAAAGCAATATCAACCATAGAAACTATTGTTAACCATCAACAATGTATTCAATGATATTTTTAACCATGACCAAAGTGTGGAATGACACATACCACTTGAAACTGTTATTAACCATCAACAAAGTGTTGAATGATATCATACTCTGCGTAGTTGGAATGTTCACCCATGCTCGACCATCGACAAAATGTCGAATGCAATTCTATGCCTCATATACGGGATGTTATCTTGCGAGAAATCGAATGGTGAAAAGTGACCTTTCGCTAACAAAGATGTAAAATCTAACATAAAAACACCACAACTACAATCATCATGTTGGACGGGCACCCCATCAAGCGATGTCTCGAAAGATGTCGTAACGTCGTCCACGTGATATCTTTCATGAAGATTTTGACGTTTGAACTCCATTATAAAAAACGCGGCTAATACTTCAAGCGGTGCGAGGCGGTCATCGTGAGG